CTTTAAAGTACCAAAATATAGGTGAGGCCAGGCTCACTCCAGTTTGCCAGAGACTGCTCCTTCCCTCCCCAGAGCTATGTTGCCCCTTTTGCAGACCCAAAGTATCTTGGCCCTGCAAGCACTTGAGTTTTTGACCTCTGGATCAGGCCATCTCTTTATATGACAGAGGTCCAGAGAGGTTGAGCCACCCATCTGGGGACACAGAGCAAACGTGTGGCAAGGCCAAGGGTGAACTCGGGTTAGGGCAGCCTGCCTGGGTCATCCACCCCACAAAGGTACCACAGCTCCAAGTGATGCCCGAGGAGCCCTGGCCCTTGCCATTTCTCAAGAGCATCTTCTCTTGCCGCATCTAATCTGATCCCCGTAACAATTTTGGGTGTCAGGTGGTGGCTTTCTCCTCCATTGCCTGATAAGGAAATGAGACTCAGGGTAGTGAAATCAGACCCTGGACAGCAGCTGTAGCAATGAGGGCAGTGAAAAGGAGGCTCATGGACCCAAGCTCCATGTTGCTGTGGGGTCTTGGGCAACTTCTCTGAACCTCTGAATGGCAGTGGAAGCTGGCCGTCAAGGATGTGGAGTTAAAAACAAACAAAACACACAGCCAGGATTCTGGTCCATATGCTGTTCCTTACAGTTGTGTGACCTTGGGAAAGTTACCTAACATCTCTGGGCCTTCTTTTCTTCTGTGAAGTGGAGTTAATAATAGATTCTACCCACAGGATTGTTGTAACGACGGAATGAGATAATGTGTGCCAAGCACACACAACAGTGCATGGCCCATAAGCCCTCAATAAATGGTCATTCTGATGGTGGCCTCATCTCTAAGATGGGGTGAGGAGAGCGATGGGTGGAGAGAAAAGTTCTGGAAGCCCTTGCAGGATGTGACAGAAGACAGCATGGCCAGGGGATGAAAAGACAGTCTGACTTGTGGGAGCTGGGCCTGTGCGCTCTGAAAGAGGACCACATGACTCCTTGTGAGGAGGAGGAGGTGATGTGAGGTTGGGTTAACGGTAGCCTGGGGTCAGAGGTCACAGACTCACATATTTCCAGCCCAAAGTTGTCTTGCAGTTCTCGCAGTGGATGTCAGCGACAGCATGGAGGCCTGTCAGCAGCACCCGCTCCTCGGCTGGCCCGCAGCCCACGTTCACCCTGTGGGGACATGGGGGCAGTCCCAGGGAGGGTCCCGCCATCACAAAGCCCCCCTCTAGCTTGTATCCAACTGTGTCTGTCCTTAGCATCCAAGAGAAGGGCCATCACATCTTCCAACCTGAATCAGGGGACTCTGGGAGTCTCGGCATGATGCCAGGGGTCACAGGTCACAAGAGAGGTCAGGGAAAGAAAGAACGGGGACCGAATACTCACACAGAGTTGAAGAGGTAGGCACGCCCCTGACTGCCCTGGAAGGACTAAGAGTGGAAGGGAGAAAGGAAGGGAGTCAGGGCTATTGGTGGAGAGTTGCCAGGTAGCCCTTCTAGCCTCTCATTCCAGCCCCAGCCGTGACCTGGTTACCTTGGAGATGAGGTCGTCGTGGTTGGCCAGGTGAGCGCGGCAGTGGGCACAGCTATACCTCCGGTGACAATCATCCAAGTAGGCCTGAAACGTCTTGGGCTTTGAAATCCGCACCATGGCGGGGGCCGGGGGCAGTGGCCCCACGCGGGGAGCAGCCCACGGGGAGCAGAGGGAGCCCAGTGCCTGCCGGGGAGGGATTGAGTGGGCTGTCAGGCCCCGGGCCACATACATGCAGGCACACCCAGGGCCATGGGGACTCTGTCACACTTGACTGCTGTCTCTTCTCCCCAGAGCCAGCAGCTTCTCTCCAGGGGCCAGAGCCGGCTCAGTTTCGACTCACTGAGGAGGCCTCAAGTTGCATCATGGGGAAACTGAGGCTTGGAGGAGCCTGAGGTGAGTCACCCATCCACTTCCGGCCTCACCCCTGCTGACCTGGCTACTGAAGCTGGAGGAAGGGGTTTTAGAGTGGATGAGCTGTCAGTTCTGGTTTAGGGGGAAGTATGGAGGGATGAGGAACTGGATGGTCCTTAGGTCCTTAGGACCTCACCTGAACTGCCAAGGGCGGGGGTGGGGTGGGGTGGGTGGGGAGTGGGGGGAACGCGGCTCCACTTGAGGTACAGGGAGTTCACCTGGGGAGAGGGTTCCTCACCTGGAGAAGGCAGAGGCCCTCACTGAAGGTGGAGGGTCACCTAGGAGGGGACGGGCTCTTACCTGGGGGGGCGCCGAGGCCTTGTCTGTGCCGAGGGGCTCTTACCTGCATCGCGGAGCCTTACCTGAGACCCCGGGGCTCACCTGGGGCGCAGGGGTGGGGGGCGGGCGCCGGGGGAAGGGGGCAGTCCTCGCTGGCGGGGCGGGGGCCCGGGGCGACGCGCAGCCCTGACGATGCGGGCCTCACCTCGCCTGGGCGCGCGGGGGCCCGGTCCGCCGGGGTGGCCTGGCCTGGGAGTGGGGGGCGCTCCTGGTGGGCGCCGTCCCCCCCGGCCCAGGTTCGCAGCCGCCGCGACTTGTTTACACCGAGACCAGCTGCTGCCGCCGCTGCGGCGGGAGGGGGAGGGGGCCGGCCTCCGGTCCCGGCGGTCGCCGTGGCCAATCGGCGCGCCGCATGCAAATGAGGGGGCGCGTCACACAGCGGCCAGCGCAGGCCCGGGCTGCCCTTCCCCCTGCTCCCCGCTCCGGCCGGCCCGGAAATGCGGCTGCGGCCGCAACCCAGCCCGCCGGCCCCGCGGGCCCGGGGCGCGTCGCGTGTCTGGCCTCCCGCCGTCCCCGAAGGGGCCCGGCTCTTTGGTGCCAGACCTGGCGCGGGGTTAGGAGGGGGATGGTGTCTGGACGCACGTCCCCGAGGAAATAAGAGTCATGATTATCGCGTTCAGCCACCGCCCGTGCCCCACTCTTAATCCCCGCAGCAATCCTATGAGGCGGCTTTTGCTATTGTTCCCGTTTAACGGGGGAGCAGAGGTCAAAGAGGTCCAGCAGCTCTCCCGAGGTTATGCAGCTGGGAAGAGGCAAAGTCGGGATTCACTTTGGTCGGATTCCACGGTCTTTGCCCTAGCAAAAGGCACCAGGGAAAGGCTCTTGGCACAGAAGAGCTAACGGTGCCCATCCGCTTTAGGCCTCTGGGAGCCAAAGCCTCGGAACAAAGCCAGTTCCTACTGTTGAGCATCACCTCTTCCAGGCAGCCTCCTTTGATGCCCTTGCCTCTGCAGGCACGGTTAGTTTACACAGGCTTCTACCCTACTAGGCTTGTCTTACTGCCTGCGGTGGCCACAGGACGCAGCCTGGCCTAGAGTAGTCAGCAAATGTTGGTGAAATGAGATTTGGTCAGTGAACAAGGTACTAGGTCTGGAGAGGGCTGAGGAGTTTGGGGGAGCTTCTGGCTTAGATCTGGGGCAGCAGATGAGCACCGGGGACTCAGCCTCTGCAGCCCATGGGGCCAGATGAAGTCCCTTGCTGTGTGCCTGGCGCTCTTCATGGCCTCAGGAGAATAGAACCCATGGCTCTGAAGGGGCAGGAGGCCTTGCTCCTTCCTGCAAGGGACGTTCCTGAGGAGAGCGGAGGCCAGGATGGCATGGGGTGTGGCACTACTCTGGGTCTGGAATGTGGTGGAACCAGTGGGTCAGGCTGCTTAGGGCCCCAAACTCTGGCCCCAGGCTGGCCTCTTCTGCCCTCAGTTGCCATCTTTGCAGTAGGCTAGGATCTCCTCCCACCCGTGTCCCCCAGACACCAAGATGTGACTCAAAAGAAGATATTTATTGGGGAAGACACATAGAGGAGAGGGTGAGGGCCTCCGGGCTTTTAGGAGACCTGGGCAGCTCCTCCGCGGGTGTCCAGGTAGCGCCTCAGTGCTGTAGGGTAATCAGTTATGACGCCGGTGGCCCCCAGGCCGTAGGCTGCTTCAAAATCCGACTCTTCGTTGAGGCACCAAAAGATCACCTGAGTGGGGACGGAGGGGCTCATAGTTTCACACAATTTACCTGGAACTTCCCCTTGCATCTAGATGGTGGGAGCTCTCCTCCCCTGTGGAGACCTCCCAGCAGTGGGATGCTGGGGTGGATTGTTGGATCGTCAGGAATTTTGTAAGACTGGTTATTAAACACAACCATCATGAAATACTAAATTATATAAACCTGTAATTCAGTAAACGATCTTAAAAACGAAGGTAATAAATACTCAAAACTCTTCTGTTCCTAATTATTTTACTACATGTTACTATTACCCCTGCTCGGGAGGTTAGTCACATCTGTTGAATGTGGCAGGTGGAAATACTACCCAAACTCTGTGCTCAATGACTTCGTGTTGGCTGCCTGAAATCGGACAAGGTGAGAGTACATACACCAGGGAAATCATCTATTGCTCGAACACAAGCTCCTTTTCCTCTTCTCTGCAAAGCTGGCTGAGGAACATCCCCCAGCCTGCCCGAGTCTGCTGCTTCTCCGTGTCTTCCCTTTGCTGGAGCTTCTCTTGTGGGCATGGTGGTAGGGAGGGATGGTACTGGTACCCTGGGCAAGTCGCCAGGCCTCTCGGTTTCTTAACGTGGCAAATGGGAATGATGGTCCAAAGCTGAGTTGTGGTGAAGACCCTCGGAGTCGGGGGGCTAATCTGAAGGAGGTGTGTCATCCGCACGCCTCACTCACCCCCGCGTCCAGGCCGTGGAGTCCCAGCCTGCCCGCTAACTCCTCCACCCATAACCCTGCTTGCCCTCTATGCCCGACACCTGGCAGTGACAGCACATGGTGGCCAGAGTGACCCTTAATGGGGTCACCCAACTGGATCAGGCCTCTCCCCTGCTTCAGACCCTCGAAAGCTTCCCTTCCTCTAGGCTGAAGTCCGGGCTCCTTGCTGACACTCACAGGCTGCCTGCCTCAGCCTCTGCTGCCTTCTCCAGCCACCACCACCACCACCACCACCCCCCGCCCCGCCCGGCCACTTCCTCTACACTGCAGCCTGCCGGAACCCGCTCAGTGCCTCCACTCAGTGCCTGCCCTGGCCTCTGGCTCCTCCCGGCCCTCCCACATGCTGAGCCTCCTGCCGGAGACGCTCTCCCTTTCCTCTCACTTCTTCCAGAAGGCCTCCTCTGACCCTGCAGATCACGGCGCTGTTTCCTTTCTGTCCACTGGGTGCCCTGTGATTGTCTACCTCACTTCCTGCCTCTGCCCCTGATTTGATGGTAAGCTCCCTGGTACCGCGGTGCCTGCAATGCAGTGTGTTCTCAACAAAGGTCTGCGAATTAAATGACTTCGTCAAAGTGAATGTCCAGGGGAGGGGCGAGGAGTAGACTGGGCCCGTTTTTCCCTTCTCTGGTCCTTCCCCAGCCCCATTAACCCTCTCCTCAGGAATCAGGACCTGAGTAGGTTCAATACATCATCATCATAACGGCTAGCACTTATCAAGCCGTTAGGAAGTACTAGTCAAATATACCATTACCCCCACTTCACAGATCAAGAGACTGAGACTCCCAGGTGACCTGCCAGGTGACCCGGTTAGTTGGTGGCAGAGCTGTGACCGGGACGCTGTGCTAGGCCCAAAGTGCGAACCACCACCTGCTCAGGAGGTGGCGGTCAAGCCTCACCTGCACTCCTCGCTGTTCCAGGTGTCGGATCAGACTCTTCCTCATGATTAACCTGGTGGGGGGGGGGGTTGGCAGAGGCCCTGATGAGAGGGGACAAAGGGCAGTGGGAGGTCTCCATGGGGACACGCCACCCAGCATTCTTGCCCCCTCACCATTTGGAAACCACAGCTGCCAGCTTGTTCAGCCCAGAGCAGGAAAATGGGAAGTAGGTCCTGCAGAGAGGTGGTGGCATGGTCAGTCCCCTGCGTCTCACTCTGTCGCAGGGGTGGGGGGGTGGTGGTAGTGTGGTAGTGTCACCCTGGCTCCTCTAGAAGAATCTCTGCAGTTGCCCAGATGAACAAGTCCCCTGTCATTCCGTGAGAGTCTACTCCCACATCCGTGCATCCATACTCTGAGAGTGTGCCCGTCCTCCCCCCGCCCCCCGGGCCGTTTTACAGAAGAGGAAACTCAGTTTGGGAGAGTCGAAGTGACCTGCCCAAGGTGTCACAGCACATCTGTGGTGGGGCCAGGGCCGAGACCAGAACCCAGCTTGATTGTCAAACTGGACGCACAATCTGAAGGTCCCGTGGTTGGGCCCGACCAGCCTCCTGCGGCTGAACAAGGCTCAACGGGTCTGCTGCTTGCCCTGATTGGCCCACTTCAGGGATGACTTTGGAGGCCCTTTATAATGTCCCAGCGCAGGCTCTGGAGTCAGACCCAGGCAAACTTGGGCCCTGCAGTTCTAGCTGTGTGGCCTGGGGCAAATTCCAGAGCCTCTCCGAGCCTCAGATTCTCTATGGGTACTATGGGGGTCATGATTCCTGTAACTTACGGGTTGCTGCAAGGTAAAGCCCTAATCAACTAAAGGATGTGAAGACACTTTGCAAACTCTGTATAAAAAGTTATGTACAGGGGCGCCTGGGTGGCTCAGAAGGTTAGGCGTCTGCCTTCGGCTCAGGTCATGATCCCGGGGTCCTGGGATTGAGTCCCACATCGGGCTCCCTGCTGGGAGTCTGCTTCTTCTCGCTCTCCCTCTGCCTGCCTCTCCCCCTGCTTGTACTCACTCTCTCTAATAAAAAAAAAAGTTATGTACACAAAGTTCTGTAGTCTAATGATATCTTTGTAGCAAGGGATTGTGGGGACTGGCTGGGAGCCTCCCTTGGGACAACAGGGCGGGAGAAGAAAGCGCTGGAGCTGCCACAGAGTTCTCAGAAAGCAAAGGGAGGGGCCGGGCTTAAGAGCTGGCGAAGTATCCAGATTCCTGATACTTTTCCCAGCTGTTACTTTGTTAATCCTGGTCTCCCAGCAGGAGAAAGCTTGCTTTGCCTTTTGAGAATCAGAGAATGATACTGTAATTGATTATGTGAACTCACGGGGGCCTTACCCCACCCACATCTTATTTACTAGTATAACTGCACCTGGAACAGAGTAGACACTCAATAAATATTTGTTGGATGAATGGATGAATAAATGAATACTTTGTCCTAAAACTCCACCCACATCAACACACATTTGCATAGAGTTTCAAGGGGTTTGTGGCCGCCCCCCATGGTATTCATGAATGCTCGCTGAGAACCAGTGTCTTCAGAGGACCCTGGGGGTTATCCCTGAGGATGGCCAGGGAGCTGGGGACCCTGCATCATGGGGTTTGAGGTGGGGGGGGTCTTTATCTGAGGACAGAAGCATGTGGGGGACTGGGGGAGGATGCAGAAGGGAAACAGGGACACTGTGAGTACCTATTGATGGTGGTGGGCAGGAAGCAGATGAAAAACCTCTCGGGGATGTGGACGAAGGGCAGCAGCCCCAGGTAAAAGAGCAGCACCAACCACAATCCTCGGCTTATCGTGAAGGCGAACGGCATCTCGGAGTTCTGGGAGGCAAGGGGAAGTGAGAAGGGGGTCAGTCTGCTTCTGGAAAAGCAGAGAGGAGCCTCAGGTTGCAGGGGGAATAGTGCAGGACATAGAGGAAACGCCACCACCTGCAGGATCAAAGCTGTGATCTTGGCCCAGTGTTTAGGCCTAACTGCACCCCCTCCCCCCCGCCCAGTTCCCACCAGCACGCCTTTGCTCACACTGTCCCCGGTTCCCACCAG